CCCCACCCCCCCCAAATCAAGAGCCTCAGAGAAGAAACAGGCCAAGGCAAATTTTTTTCCTCCCCTAATAGCAAAATAGATTTCAACTGCTGTAATACAGTAGATTATAAACAGCTCTTCCGCGTGACAGAACACGGTACAGATTGCATACATGGAACCGCTGGTGGCAGGGCCGCGGCCTGTGCACATGGCAGCGTGCAGCGGCTGCTGGGCCATCCTCTGCTTGTGCGCCTCTCCCCTGCCACTGCAGCAATGGCTTCTTGGCCGCAGCTGCAAGCACAGGGAGAAGAGACAAGGCTGAACTTGGCTGGCTCGGAGGTACTGCGGGGAGCCAGTTCATAACCCTGGTGCCGCAGAGCGTGTGGGCTTGCTCACAGCTCACGCTGGATCGCCGTCCTTCCAGGCCATCTACATTCAGAAGGTGGGAGCTCAAACTCCTTTAGCGGGTGGACTGATTTCACATCAACCATGCCATTTCATATTAAAAAAATACATCAGGATTTCCCCCCCTCCCACCACAGCACGTAGCACATGCCTTACTCAGACGGCTGTCGCAGGATAGCACGCAGCGAGCAGCTCAGATGCAGGACTGCTTCACCTCTGAAGGCTGGAAGCTAAATACCCCAACAGAAAGGACGTACTAGGCGTGACTCTGCACAGGTTCAGTCTTCCTGAGAATAAACTGTTATCTGCATGAAAACCAGGACACGTTTCACCATATTAATACTGATTTTTGTGATGTTATTGAGGAAGGAGCTGCAGCTGTACTGGCTGCCACCCAAAAGCTGGAGGCTTCCCACCTCAAAACTGAGGGAGTTACCATGGAAGCAAGCTGCACAATTCTTGTGTTGGAAAGAACCACAAAAACCAGTACATACTATTATTAAGAACTTGTGAAGGGCAGGTTGTGAACCTTCGCATCCTCATTATTGACCAGAACACCATATTGCTAGCTCCGGCACTCGCAGCCTAAGAGAACTCAAACAAACATGGTATAATTGACTCTAATTAAACAAGCAATGTGCAAAAGACTTAGTATTTCCCCTCCAGTACTCTTGCGAAAAATGAAAATAAGCCCACATTCAAAAGCAATTTAAAGACACCATGAAACTGAAAGTAATCCCAATTGTTAATGCCCTGACAGCACGATTACCAGATGCCTTGATCTACAAGGCTAAAAACCTCAACTTGTCAAAAACGAAGACTAATTCCAACAGCTCAGCACCCCTTTCTGGTTGCCTTTTGCTTGCCAGATGCTCAAGCCCTCAGGCTTCAAACAGCGAGGATGCTGACACAGTAAATGCTGATATTCTTTATGAGGAATATGACAGTGCCAGCTGCGAGGGAAACACCCAAACTTGGCACAAAAGTACCATGATTTGATCTCCTTTTGAGAACACTGAGACAGTAGCAAGACCTGACACAGGCATCAAGAAGACAAATCAAGTCCCTAATCCATCACACCCTATTTGAGTGCAGTTACATCGGTACGTAAGCGTTTTGAGCACCACAGCTAAAAAGTACTGGACTGAATTTCATCCTATACTAAGGAGGTGACAAAGCTGTTTGGCCAAAGGGTGGGGTTTTTTCTTTGTTCCCCCCCCCCAAAAAAAGGAAGCTTCATTGCTGCAGCACTTCTGTCCCTTCCTCCCACAAAAGGTATGGTGAAAGATTTAGGATTAATCAAACTGAACGAGGATAAAATAATCCATTTCACTCTCGGGATTTTATACACTAATACTGCCAAGTCTGAGTATCTACACGAACCCCTTCCTCTGAAATTAACCCAGCTGTTTCAACAAACAAGTTTAGTAGGAGGTATTTTTAGAGGAGAGCCACATACGCGAACACTATGTTTGGCAAATTTGACCTGACACAGTATCCTTTCTGAAGCGCGGGATTCCTTCTTACAGAAAACTGAAAACCTGGAAGAGTTTAAGTATCGCCTAGCTTTCACGAAATTACTTTTGACTCAGGTTAGTAAAAATAGGAGCCCAAAAGATAGTCTTAAGTGGATTGGGAGACAAGTCCATCAACAGTCCCAATACTGCTGGTATCAAATACCTAGGCTGTAAGTCAGTAAGGAAAAGCTGTTACCAAAAAAGTGCCAATAAAGAACATTTGAGTAATTCAGAAATCCTTGTGACCAAAGTTAAGGTACCTCCATCCGGTTACCCTCCCTCTCCAATAACGGGAGCTGCAGTTCCAGTAAAACTGGAGAGATACGTACCCAGATACTATGTAAGTTCCCTTTTGTGCTTAGCATCTGACAGAACAAGGAAGCTGAAGGGACTCATCCTAATTAATAGATATTGAAACACCAAATTCACGTAACGCTTCTCCCTTGAGCAGTGTGTATGGGAGGATGTCCTACCTCTTCAGAAAGAAGAGGGCAATACCTAGGAAACTGATCTTCACCTGAGGTCCCCACGTAAAAGCAGACACAGGCAGATGAAAAAGCAGCTCTGACCCCAGCCACTGCATCAACCCTCGTTTCCCACCGAGGGTGTTAGAAGCTGCTACAATACACGTCGGCAAGAGGCACCAAGATGTGCTGGCATATTGAACTGGACGTAGCCATTTCAGATGAGAATGTGCTATGTACCTGTAAAGTTGATTGCATTTTCTTACAGTTGGGTCACAGTATTTCAAATCTTTCACACTAAAGAAAGCCTTAACAACTTGTATACCTTAAAGCACCTGCCAAATTAAAGCAAAAGCTCTTTTACAAGTTAATTGTGTTAAAAGAATTGATTATCTGGAGCAAGAGAAAGAAAGAGAGCTAGAAGAAAAACCTATTCCTCAAGTCGCAAGGGCCTTCGGAGAACAAAAATGCTGTAAGTCAGTTTGGAACATAATGAACACAGAGAAAACAAGTTTTCAGTGTAAAAAGTCATATAAAGACTGCACACACTATGCCCTGCTTCTGAACCTGATTCTCCAATGCAGCCACAAGTAAACTGTCAATCCCTTCTTTCTCTGCCCATTTTAAATCTGTAGGCAGTCAACGCACAGAATGCAGTTCAAAGCCATCCAGGAATACTTTGGCTATTTTCAGGGCAAGGAGGCAAATATCCTGTTGCTCTGCCACTTGTCCACGTCGTAGCGGCAGACAGGGACACAAAGAATAGAAGTTTTGTAGACACTCCATGACCAAAAGGGAGAAAGAGACTGCAAAAGGTACGGCTAAGGAAGATGGACGGACGCTAACAATGAGCTACTAGCATATCTGACTAGACTAGCTGTTGTCCAGAAGAGCAGCAACCTGGGGGGACCCCTGCATGACTAGGATTCCAGTAGACTCCACCTTCAGCTCAATGTTTTTCTGGCAAGGAAATGGCTCAAAGTAGGATAGCACATAGTAGATGCTGCCTATGAAGCCCGTGGCAATCCAGGTCAACTGGTTTGCCTCAGTAATGTTTAAAAATTACAG